AGAGAGAGAGAGAGAGAGCGAGCAGTGGCCCGTCTTGATTCCGCAACAAGACATCATCCGAGTATCTGCTGCAAGGAAGTTGCTTTCCTTGTTCTCGCAAAGTTGCCACATGCGACTGGATGACAACAAAGCAGTCAATCAAGCAAAGGCTTATTGTTCCCAAGGCTCTTGATATCTGCTGGTCCATGCCAGTGCTTGCTTCAAACAGACGCCTCACAGCTGCTTTGTATGAAAGCCGACATGTCAACAGAAATCCCGTGACTCAGTGACCGGGTGATAACCATCTCCGAGCGTCATTGCATGTTCCAAGGTTGCATCGAAGACTGCGTGACCATCCGGGCCATCGATCTCCTTCAGCAAGCGCCCACCACCTCAGATCGAGAAGCAAACGGGCGCATCAGCTGACACGAGACCGTTGCAGCTAGGTGAATCAGAATCGTGGTAAAGCCGGGTTCTGCCTGACCCCCTGCCTGCCAGCCCTGCTAATGCAAAGGAATCACAATGAAAAAGAAGGAATGTCACCAGGGTGTGCCAAGTGCAGCACAGGAGGCAGGCTTGGCACACCATCCCGCAGCGACCGAAAGACAAAACATATAGGGCATATCTGTAAAAAGCTGTATATATTCACGAGCTACGAAATGGTGTGTTGCTCTGGAGGCCCCGCATGCTGAGACCGAGGCATTCGCATGCCATTCTCGCAAAGATCTGAGGGCAACTCAAGCTCCGAATGCGGAATACACAATGCAAGTACCGGTTGCGCAGTTCTTCCTCTTGGCAATGTTCGCACCTGGTTGGGCATCTGGTTGGGCAAGGATTCTGGGACCTGAACATCGCGATCAGACATCAACTTGCAGCCACTGTAGCAAGTGCAGAGCTCCGAAGCTCAAGTCCCAAGATGTTGAATCATGTGCTTGTCTTTGCTACTCAGAATATTGGAAGCTGTCCTGAAGGCGATCGCCAGCATTCGGTAAGTGCTATCTGCTCTCGGCCGAGCCACATGCGCAGGAGCTCTGTTCGGCATCAGTCGCAAAGTGGAGATCACCTCACACATTATCGTCTTTCATCTTCTTCCGAAACATCTCGAAAGAATGCAACGAACCCATGCTCCGAGAAGTCCGGAGTCCCAGCGCGTCCCCTGCGTCGCGGGCACCTTGCTCGTCACGCTGAAAGGCGGTGTATCTTCGGCCAGTAGCGGCTCATCCAGCCGCCCAGCCGCATCCATCCCTGAAGGAGCATACCATGCGACACACGCAGATGCCAACATGAATCAAATCCGCAAATACAAGCCGCACCCGATTCGTTTCATGATACATGGTTACCCTCCAGTTGCTTTCCCAACTGGCCGAGGACTCGCGCATGCATCTTTGTTCTGCACAGGTTTCCACTGTGCTCGGGCCTTCTCAGCAGCATAGTCGCCGGATTTTGGCACTCGAGCACAAAATCAGCATAACATCGGATAAAATACACAGCTGAAGCATGCAGCAATATCGAAACGATCGTCCCATACACGCTTGCAGCATGTGCTCGCGGCCTCGCACGGTAGCTTCCAGTATCCTGGCACCACATGAAAAAGGGGGAACCTTTCTCCCGCCCAGCTTCAGTAGTACATAGCACGACCCGAGTCTTCATCCCAACGTGATGACATGCAAGGCTCCGCCTAGCACAGCACATTGTGCTGGAGGTTTCACCACCCAGCCACGCCGAAATGGCCTGCGAAGGCTTTGCCGAAGAGATTTGCAAGTCACGAATACCAGACTGCCTCGCCATCAACTCCAGAGTCTTTCAAGCTCCCAACTCCTTCAGAAGCAGAACAATGTGAAGCTTGCCCAAGGAATTCATCTCGGAGCGGCCGTCCTTGTTCACGGTGAGGTTTACCCAAACATCTCTCCCATGCACTCGAAAGCTCTGCCGCAGCATTGTGTGCACGGCTCCTCGGGCCACTGCAGCATTAGGTGTGCAAACGGGCTCGCTGTCTGATGCGTCGGATGCAAGCAATTGGTGCCTTGGAGGCAATCGCAAGAGCACGTGTGTGCTTTCATGCGCCTTGGGCAAGCACGAAACATGTCGCCTGCTTGCCGATTTCTCCAGCACCATCATCCGAGCCGAAGCATACGGCAGATGTCCGAGCCGCCAACTGGAAGCTCTCCGTCCACTTGCAACTGGCCAAGTGGCTTCGTGTTTCCTGCGCAGAAGCGCACAGTTAGGTGTCATGCGACCGAGCAAAGGATGCGGGCCAAGCGGCTGGGCTCGCTGGGCTTGTTGGAGGAAAGACACAGCGCTGAGCATTCATCGGGCGCTTCAGCCTCTGCAGCCTTTGACCAAGGAGTGGCAGGAACCTCTGAGTTTCACAAAAGGGGCACACATGTCATATTAGAGGCTTCCAAGTCGCGCTGTAACGCCGCAGACTGGACGGGTGGCCTTGACCGCGAGTCGCGTTTTAGATCATTATGAATCTTTGCCGACTTAAGCACTGGAGCCTGTTGAGTCTGAGAAGCTGGCTCTCTGTCATGTCCACAGCGTCTGGATCGATCCAGGTGCCGTCCAGGTCATCGACAAAACTCACCCCACCTTCTCTGCCACCAGTCAACACGGGCAATATGCTCAAGCACAACGACGAATTCGGATTTGTGGGACCCAGGGCATGCCTTGTAGGTCAACTTCTTCGTCCTAGCAATGGAAGTGCGTCGAATCTGCTGCAGCTGGCAGGCTCGCTCCCTCCCAACGTTTATAGCCAGCTGCAAGATGCTGCACGTAACTTGTTACTACCAGCCTCCGGCATGCTGCTGATAAGCTGCATGAAGCGTTCTTGGGAGATGTCTGCGACAGCTTTGCGTCGCTCCTCCGAGCAAGACGTCGATGCAGAAGCAGAAGCAGCAATGAGGAGTAACGACACTACATACTAGTTGCGTGAGCAGGCATGGTCCTCCGGTGAGGCGTTCTGCAGTGCATGCATGAGCGAGCCTTGCACAACTGGGGAAAGCTATGCTCACGAGAAGGCCTGAGTCTAGGTCCAATGCGTGGCACAGGGCGCTTTCGGAGAGTTGCAACTCGGCAGATGCTGCTCAGGCTAATGCCAAGAGTTTCGTTGCCCGATTCTGGTCGACTCCTTCCACATCAGAGAAGGCAAATTCAACCGAAACCCCCGCAGGACATGACCTCATGCTTTTTGCAGTCCTCTCTACAAGCTCCGAGCTGGTGCTGCTTTCCTTGCACGAGAAGGCAAACATCAAAGCCAGATACAAGGACAATTCAACACCAATCCTCCCACTGACTCAGCTCCACCTCCTCCGAGTCGACCAGCTCCTGGAGCTCACACGGAATGTCCGTTGAGGCAGTAACCGTCATCCGTAAGACCGGCTTGCTCCAAGGCCTCACAGACCTTGCCATACAGATCACAACCGGCCAGTGACGTCGCCAGCCTGTCGTCAAATTTTGCACCGAATACCCAGCTTCGAAAGGCACAGAGTAGCAGTTGCGCTCAACTTTCTCCTTTCTCCCAGCACGGCTTCGTCTCAAATCGTGCTGGCTCAGCGCTTTGCAAGGCGCTGGAAACAGGCATAGCCCATGACCACCAGAAAGAAGGCACAAAGAAGAAACCTGAGTGGCAATCAACAAGCCCTGTGGTGAAGCCATTCCACTAAGCTCATAATGACACTGTCTTTCGAGTCCATAGGTCAAGCCAAGCAGCATCAGGTTGGTCGCAAAATATACCCAGAAAGCCTCATCCTTCCTTGCTGTGATCTCTTTGATGGGATCGACCGTCCACTCGAAGAAGAGCGGGTGAACGGAGCGCAGGTGATACATAAACTCCGCATCCTCCACGGCGAGCCTAAAATTGTAGTCCTCCTCCCGGCTTAATAACCGAAGACCACCTCGTGCTCCTGAGGAGCGTGAAGCTCCACACGTGAAGTTGCTGCCGCCATCAGAGCAACAATCTGTTCCCGCGGCCCACAGATCGTACGTGGCAGGGAGCGGCTGATCAGAGGCAGCAATGATGGGCGCGACACAATACATTTTCATGGAAGAGTTCTGGTGCCTGGCATGGCAAAAGCACAAAGCTGAAAAGGAGAAGCGAAGGGCAAATAGGGCAATGGAAGGGGAAAACTCGTGCATCCTGTTCTACTAGTGCTGTCTTGCTGCGCCATGGCATGCTTCAGCTGCAAAGTGGAACCCTTCACGAAAATCACACGGCCAGCATCAAGCAGCTGCTTCCCTGCAGCCCGTGACGGGTCGACATTGTCGTAGCTGTCGAGGTTGGAAATGTCATAGTAGCCCTTCATGTACTTCGTGAAAATCATGGAACCCACTACTGAACCAGCAATGAAAGCAATCAATGACAGTACCGCGAGTGCCGCCCACCATGCATAGCCCCGCATGAAACGGGGATGATTGTCTTCTCTGCTGCCTTTTTTCAGCCACCGGCCTCTGGAGAGTAGTGCTGCCACCACTGTGAGGAGTACCAGCATCGCTGTGCCAATAATCATTACATGGCTCAACCATGGATACAAGTAGACTGCCAATGACATCAGCCCCCAACTGAGCGACGCAAAGATGGCCCAAGGCATCAGAACCAAGAGCGCAAGCTGCGCCGTGCTCAGAATTAGCAGTCGGCACGTCATCGGTTCAAACATCCGTTCTTGCCAGTTGGCGCTGCCATATTCTGCGGGCTTGGTATACACGGAGGAGTACGGGTTCATTAGCCCGTGCTGTGGATGATCAGGCACGGGACGGGTACGCAATCGGATTGAATCTTGAGCCAGGCTGTGGCTTTTGTGCAACCCATCCCGCAAGGTCAAAACGCTGGGACGCTGTAGCACATTCACGCTCGGGGACAGGCTGGGAGCTAAGCGCTTGCGTTTTCGCCAGGCGCGATTCCAAAAGCTCCTGCAACCCATCTCTCTTTCAAAAAGAAGGACTTCTCACCCAGGCTGGGGCGGCCTTCTGTCGCAAGAGCACATGCAGCTCGTCCTCGGTTTGACCGCAACAGGCGGTGCGCTCCACTCCGCGGGACCGACAACATTTGCCCTGGGGTCGCCGCCTGAAGTTCTGCAGCACAGCCGCTCGGGCCATCCATCAATGAATCCGAGCTGGAAGATCCTGGCGTCCGTGCCGGGGCAAGCCCTCTTTAACGAGATCTCCTACATGACACACACACACACACAC